GTTAATATCTCTGTAGGTGATGTCTTTGTTATGGAAGGTTTGGGAATCGCTTCCTTTTAGGTGATTATAGAATTTAACGTCTCTTTTCTGGATTTTGATAATTAGCATGCATTATTTGGTGTTTTTCGTTGTACACTGAGGATATTTTTGCAGAATTCTGCATGCAGAGTCTCAATTTGGTGTTTGTCCCATTTTGTGAATTCTTGGTTGGTGAGCGGACCACAGACCTCACAACCGTAAAGGGCAATGGGTTCTATAACTGATTCAAGTATTTTTAGCCAGATCCTAACTGGTATGTCGAATTTTATGTTCCTTTTGATGGCATAGAAGGCCCTTCTTGCCTTGTCTCTCAGATCGTTCACAGCTTTGTATAAGTTAGTTAGTAGTGTGAGGCTGGGTGCTGCAGGCTGTTCTAGTGCCATATATGTTGAAGAGGGTGGGGCCTAAACTGCATCCCTGTCTCACCCCACGGGCCCTGTGGAAAGAAATGTGTGTGTTTTTTGCCAATTTTAACCGCACACTTGTTGTTTGTGTACATGGATTTTATCATCTCTCTCTCTCTCTCTCTCTCTCTCTCTCTCTCTCTCTCTCTCCAGTTAATGTCACCTCTCCCAACTCTTACAAACACCTACCCATGAGCCCCCTCTCTTTCCATTTACTGTAACCAGTATCCTCACCCACTGAGCACCGATGGACACATGATGTCCATGGGCGTTGAAATTTGGTTAGTCCACCTTGGCCTTGATGTTAACGTCCACAGGCGGACCAGACTGAACCAAATCTGAACCTATCATAGACGTATGTTTCACAAGTTTGGACAATACAATACAGTACACTGAGTACACTCTAAAAATTAGGGGTTCAACAAGGGTTCTTCTAAGATCCTCAAAGTTCTTCGAAGAACCTTAGGGTTCTTGGCACTGACAATTGCCCCCAAAAGGTTCTTCCAAGAACCCCATAGGAGGTGGGGTTCATTGAGGAACCTGCTTAGTTGGTGGGGGTTCTTGTAGGAACCTAATTGCCCAACTGAAACATTTGGATTTAAATTTGAAAGGATAGCAGGTGCAGGCACTTAACTGAGATATGTAAATATCTCCTCAATTTTTTAAAGTAAGATTTGTCCCTTGTATGATCTAAATTGATATTGTTTTATGATGATACCATGTCTTTTCAGATTTGTGCAAATCTTTCTAAAACAGAAAATGGACACAATTCAATGGATATCAATCAACAAAGAAGTAAGAATATGTATGTTATAAGAATATGTTGAAGGCTAGCTGTATTGGGTGCAGATGACTGAACTGTTCACTTTTGTGTCTGTGAGGAGGCATACAAAGGAATGTCAATTGGTATTGTGAACCATGGGGCCGCGCACAATTGGCCCAGCGTCGTCCAGGGTAGGGGAGGGAATGGCTGGCAGGGATGTAGCTCAGTTGATAGAGCATGGCGTTTGCAACGCCAGGGTTGTGGGTTCGATTCCCACGGGGGGCCAGTATGAAATAATAAAAAAATTATGTATGCACTAACTGTAAGTCGCTCTGGATAAGAGCGTCTGCTAAATGACTAAAATGTAAATGTATTGGTATATTATGCAGATCACATGTACCATCCTCCTCCCTTACCTCTTCAATGAAAATCCCATAGGCCTCTACATTATGGACAAGGTATGAATACTGTGTCACACCCTGGTTCTGGGGACTCTAATATGTTGAGCCAGGGTGTGTAGAGTCTATGTGTTTTGTTCTATGTTCTCATTCTAGTCAGTTGTGTTTCTATGTTGGCCAGTGTGGTTCTCAATCAGAGGCAACGTGAATCAGCTGTTTGCTTGTTGTCTCTGATTGGGAGCCATACTTAAGCAGCCAGTTTTTCCCACAGTGTTTGTGGGATCTTGTTCCGTGTTGGTTTATGTTTGTTAACCAAGGACTTCAGGTTATCGTTTGTTGTTTTGTTCGTGTTAATTAATAAATAAGTATGTTTGCAAATAACGCTGCGCGTTGGTCCTCCTCCTTCGACGATCGTGACAGAAGATCCCACCATAACAGGACCAAGCAGCGTGTCCAGGAGCAGACAGCCTGGACATGGGAGGAGATATTGGACGGGAAAGGGTCCTGGACCTGGGAGGAGATCCAGGCCGGGATGGATCGCCGTCCGTGGGAGGAGACGGTGGAGGCGCGCCGGAGAGAGGAGCAACGGCGTCAACAGTGTCGTCGTCGGACGGACGAGAGGCAACCCCAAAAAAATTTTAGGGGGGCGGCACACGGCATGGGCGACGGGGCAGCAGGAGGCAGCCAAAGGGCGTATTGGGAGGTTAGGTGAGGAGGCCACCAGGTTAAGGGGGCTATTGGTAAGGAGAGAGCAGGAGTTAGTGGGTCAGAGGGAGGAGCTACTGGATGCTAGAAGGGAGAAGGAGAGAGTAGAGGCAAGGCGAGAGGAACTGAGTAGGCAGCTGAGGGAGTGGAGGGTTATGAAGAAACCCAGTCCCGCTCCTCACACCAAGCAAGTGGTGTGTGTCACCAGTCCGGTCCGGCCCGTTCCTGCTCCCCGCACTAAGTTAGTAGTGCGTGTTCCCAGTCCGGCCCGACCTGTTCCTGCTCTCCGCACTAAGTTAGTAGTGCGTGTTCCCAGTCCGGCCCGACCCGTTCCTGCTCCCCGCACTAAGTTAGTAGTGCGTGTTCCCAGTCCGGCCCGACCCGTTCCTGCTCCCTGCACTAAGTTAGTAGTGCGTGTTTCCAGTCCGGCCTGACCCGTTCCTGCTCTCCGCACTAAGTTAGTAGTGCGTGTTCCCAGTCCGGCCCGACCCGTTCCTGCTCTCCGCACTAAGTTAGTAGTGCGTGTTCCCAGTCCGGCCCGACCCGTTCCTGCTCTCCGCACTAAGTTAGTAGTGCGTGTTCCCAGTCCGGCCCGGCCTGTTCCTGCCCCTCGCACCAAGCCTACGGTGCGCATCGCCAGCCCGGCCCGGCCTGTTCCTGCTCCCCGTACCAAGCCAAGAGTGCGCGTCGCCAGCCCGGCCCGGCCTGTTCCTGCTCCCCGCACCAAGCCAATGGTGCGCGTCGTCAGCCCGGTCCGGCCTGTTCCTGCTCCCCGCACCAAGCCTATGGTGTGCGTCGCCAGCCCGGCCCGGCCTGTTCCTGCTCCCCGCACCAAGCCAATGGTGCGCGTCGTCAGCCCGGTCCGGCCTGTTCCTGCTCCCCGCACCAAGCCTATGGTGTGCGTCGCCAGCCCGGTCCGGCCCTTTCCTGCTCCACGCACCAAGCCAGGGGTGCGCGTCGTCAGCCCGGTCCGGCCCGTTCCTGCTCCACGCACCAAGCCAGGGGTGCGCATCGTCAGCCCGGTCCGGCCTGTTCCTGCTCCCCGCACCAAGCCAGGGGTGCGCATCGTCAGCGCGGTCCGGCCCGTTCCTGCTCCCCGCACCAAGCCAGGGGTGCGCGTCGTCAGTCCGGCACAACCCGTGCCTGGGTCAGCTGCTCCACATCGGAGCCTAAGCAGTCTGCTCCACCGATGTCCAGTCCAGCTCCAGACCAGGGGCCAGACCAGACCAGGGGCGCTACGGGGGGATTGTTGGAGGGTGGTGGTCATGCCCGGAGCCGGAACCGCCTCCGAGGAGGAATGCCCACCCAGCCCTCCCCTGTTCGGTTATGTTTGGCGCAGTCGCAGTCCGCGCCTTTGGGGGGGGGTACTGTCACACCCTGGTTCTGGGGACTCTAATATGTTGAGCCAGGGTGTGTAGAGTCTATGTGTTTTGTTCTATGTTCTCATTCTAGTCAGTTGTGTTTCTATGTTGGCCAGTGTGGTTCTCAATCAGAGGCAACGTGAATCAGCTGTTTGCTTGTTGTCTCTGATTGGGAGCCATACTTAAGCAGCCAGTTTTTCCCACAGTGTTTGTGGGATCTTGTTCCGTGTTCCGTGTTGGTTTATGTTTGTTAACCAAGGACTTCACGTTATCGTTTGTTGTTTTGTTCGTGTTAATTAATAAATAAGTATGTTTGCAAATAGCGCTGCGCGTTGGTCCTCCTCCTTCGACGATCGTGACATACTGTCGTGTGCATGTTTTGTAAATCATCTGTATAATAATAAAAAAATATATTCACAGACTTCACCATCCCTACACCTCTGATGAATATAACAGGAAACCTGTTCGATCACCATGCACTGCAAAATCATTCTGGCTATAGATACGGAGAATATCAACACGTTAACATCAACACGCCAGAGGATATACCCATTGGACTTGGGGCTCTGCTGGGAGTTTACCTCATATTTGGATCTTTTTATTCTGCTTTGCCACTAAAATCATAATAAACACAGAACTAAAATATTGTGTTATTGTTGTTATTGTTATGCGTATTACTATCATTAGTAATAATGATAACAGAGGAGGGGGGATAGTTAAAAAATGAAACCCAAAAGGTTCTTCAAAAGGTTCTTTGAGGATCCATTAAAAGGGGTTCTTTGAAGAACCCTTTTAAAGGGTTCATCGAAGAACTTATAGGGGTTCCACCCACAGTTTCACTTTGAATAACCCCTAAAGGATACTCCAGGAACCTTTTATTTTTAGAGTGTAGAGCACAGTATAGGAAAGACAAGTAGAGTATAGTACAGTATATTGTACTGTACTGAACTATGCTCTACTTTACTGTACTGAACGCTACTGTACTGTACTGTACTGTATTGTACTGAGTCAAAGTGTAATTCCGTTACTGTGGAATTGCCCATAAGGCATTAGTGCAAGAGGTTCAAATATTTGATGATCGCGTAGATTAGGCCTAACAGCTGGTTTGCTTGAATGTTTGAAAAGGGGTGGGGGTGTTATTAATGAGTATAATAAATGAATTGATGATGATGTGCATGTGTTTTCTATTCTAAATAGGACAGTGTGTAGTACCCTGGATGACAGATTCTTATTTTCTCAAACTGTATCCCTCTTACCTCATTTGACTTTACCTTTGTCTTTGATTGTTAACAAAAGTTTCAAGCCGGCAGCCAGGCCAGTCCACTGCAGGATGTGTGTGTGTGTTTACATGTGTGCTCACTTCATGACACTCACTTCCCTCTCGTTTACCAGAAGACACCTCTTCAGATTCCCCTCAAGAAGTGTTTGTACGTGTGTATGTTTACATGTGTGCTCACTTCATGACACTCACTTCCCTCTCGTTTACCAGAAGACACCTCTTCAGCTTCCCCTCAAGAAGTGTTCGGTGGTGGGCAACGGAGGTGTCCTGAAGCACAGCGGCTGTGGGAAGGACATTGACCAGGCTGACTTTATCATGCGGTAAGAGAGGGGCTGTCCGCTCCAGTGCCCGTCCAAATATGATTTGGCTGTCCCACGCTCGCCGGGGCCAGAAAGAGCAGCCAAAGAACATCAGCCATCAGAATGAATGAGAATGGGTGTTGTCATATCTGCTGGAGAGAGAGAGAGAGAGAGAGAGAGAGAGAGAGAGAGAGAGAGCCTTGAGGACAAACAAGAGAGGGTTTGATTTGATTTAGTTGACTAGGCTAGTTCTACCTGGGATCACTGTTGTCCCCCTCACCAGGCATGCCTGGCTGGCTTAAACTAGCCTTAAACTAGGCTTAAACCAGGCTTGAACCAGCCTTGAACCAAGACTAAAATAATAGGATTGCTTTGGCGCTCCATCTCCAACCAAAGCCTATAGACTCGCTGACTGCCTGACTGGAAGTTTGGACAAATGTTATCATTTTGTTATAACTGTGGTATCACAATGTGTTAACATTTATTGCCAAGAAAAGGCAAGACAAAAAGCTAAAAGCTAGTTCTATTCTGAAAGCAAAATCATGAAGAACCACTATCTGCAATCCTGACCAAGTTCTCAAGTAGTAAATGCTTTATGGTCACTGTAAAGTCACTATCAGTATATTAATATGTGTACTTGTGTTTTTCATATCTAGGTGCAACCTTCCACCACTGTCTAGGGAGTATGTTGAGGATGTGGGGACCAAAACTCACCTGGTGACAGCCAACCCCAGCATCATTGAGAAGAGGTACACTCCTTTCCTTTCAAAACTGCTGTTGACTGTAAAATATATGGATGTGTGTGACAGCATCCAAGTCCTCTCCTTTTCAGTCCACTCCCTCTTTCTCTCTATCCTTCCTCTATACTAATCTCTTTCGCACTCTCTCCCCACCGCGTCGCCTTTCTCTCTCTCTCTCATTCTCTCCTGCTATCTCTCCTCTCCAGCTCTCTCTCTCGCTCTCATTCTCTCCTGCTATCTCTCCATCTCTCTCCCCTCCTCTTTCCTTCTCCTGCTATCCTCTGCCTCCCCGGCTCTCGCCTCTCTCTCTCTCTTCTCTCTCTCTCTCCCTCCTCCTCCCTCCTCTCTCCTCTCTTCTCTCTTCTCCTTTCGGTTCTCTCCTCCTCTCTCGTCATCTCCTCCTCTCTCTCCTCTACCTCTCTCTCTCTCTCTCTCGCCTCTCTCTCTCTCCTCCTCCTCTAAGCCTCCTTCCCCCTTCTCTATTCTCTTCTGCTATCTCTCTCTCCAGCCCTCTCTCTCTCTTCTTCCTGCTATCTCTCCTCTCCAGCTCTCTCTCTCCCCTCTCTCTTTCTCTCCTGCTATCTTCCTCTCCAGCCTCTCTTCTCTCTTTCTCTCCTGCTATCTCTCCTCTCCAGCTCTCTCTATCTCCCCCTCTCTTTCTCTCCTGCTATCTCTCCTCTCCAGCCCTCTCTCTCTCTCTCTTTCTCTCCTGCTATCTCTCCTCTCCAGCTCTCTCTCTCTCCCCCTCTCTCTTTCTCTCCTGCTATCTCTCCTGCTATCTCTCCTCTCCAGCCCTCTCTCTCTCTCTCTCATTCTCTCCTGCTATCTCTCCTCTCCAGCCCTCTCTCTCTATCTTTCTCTCCTGCTATTTCTCCTCTCCAGCTCTCTCCCTCTCCCTCTCTATTTCTCTCCCCCCAAGGCCTCTGTCTTCTTTCTATCTCTTTTCTCTCTCTCCCCCTTTCTTTCTCCCTCTCATCATGTCTACTGTCAGTTCCAGATGTTAGGGTCTAAGAGCTTTGTCTGTTGTCTTGTCCTAGCTGCAGATTTCCTCATCCAGACTGGTGTTTTATAGAGGAGCCATGATACGGAGCCAAAACGTGTGTGAATGTGGTCTTGTTCTTCTATTGTCGTGGGGACCTGAAATCCCCAAATGTCCCCACAAGGATCGTAAAACAAGGAAAATTCTCCCTCATGGCGACATTTCCCAAGTCCCCATGAGGACAAAGTCTATTTTAAGCTTAGCGGTTAAGTTTAGGGTTATGGTAACAATTAGGGTTAGAATTGGGAATTAGAATCCCCACAAGGATAGAAGAACAAGTGTGTGTGTGTGTGTGTGTGTGTGTGTGTGTGTGAACAGAGCCTCTTTGTGTCTGTTTATAATCCTACTCTGTGCAGCATCTGTAGACGTATGCTGGAATTCAATCCTGTTTTCAGCTATGCGTTTCCTCTCAGTGTGTTTCTGAACCGTGTTATTGCTAACACACCCCCATGCTGCTTTCCTCATCTCTGTGCATTTAACGATTGATAATGTCTCGGTGACATTATCATTGGACGTTGGCACAACGTCACTCCTGTCCTCAAGACATTTTGTTGATATTTTGAAGCCCAATCACGGTGAGGGCAGGTAGGCTGTACTGTATATTGTTGACATTTGGGGTGCTTCAAAATGTAATGCAGTACAATTGAATCCCCGCCTCCACAAGCAACTACACATATGTACAACACATATGGTATGACTTATCCTGAGAGGACATATCCATAATACCATAATCCATAAATACCCATGGAATTAGGGGGGCAGTTCTATCTGGACTCTACAGATACTTCCAGAACCCATTTCACACGACATCCACAGTAGATTTAGCCTGGAATGCATGACCAGATCAAATTGACTTACCAAAAGAATCACCCTCTGTTTTTCCTCATGTCATAACGTATGCCTGTGACTGTAGTGAGTGTGTGTGTGTGTGTGTGTGTGTGTGTGTGTGTGTGTGTGTGTGTGTATATCCCCGTGACTCTACTGGCATAGAGTTTAGATTTCCGAAGGTGACATTTGCATGGATAAACCGTAGTCACCATAGAAATATAATGAATGACTAGAACAGAGAAAGCCCCTCTGACCATAGCAATTTAAAGGTGCAATATGCAGATATCGCTCCGCCATTTCCTGGTTGCTAAAATTCTAATAGTTTGCCTACTTTCAGTTTGTGACAAAACAAGTCATTGTGTAGAGAATCTAAACCACTGTGAAATATATTTTCCATAACCAAAAATATTGTATTTTCAGCTGTTTGAAGCTGGTGTACAAAACCAAAAGTAAAAGACGCAAAAACTAAACTTAAGAACGGAAAGCACAGAAAATGGCACATAGAACTTATATACTGCTTCTTAGACTTGCTTTCAATGAGAATGACAGATCTATAACACATTTCTATGTGAATTTGGTCAGGTCTACCAAAAACGTACATATTGAAGCTTTAACTGTACACTCATGGGTACACCAATATGGCCACAGGTCCACCCGTCATGGAACGTTGACTGGGTGTCACGATCGTCGGAGGAAGTGGACCAATGCGCAGCGTGATAAGTGAACATACTTTATTTTTGAATGATCACACGAAACAAAACAACAAACGATACGAAACGTGAAGTCCTTGGTTACAATACAAACCATACGGAACAAGATCCCACAACACACTGTGGAAAACAGGCTGCCTAAGTATGGTTCCCAATCAGAGACAACAAGCAACAGCTGATACACGTTGCCTCTGATTGAGAACCACACCGGCCAACATAGAAACAAATGAACTAGAATATAACCCTAGCACACAAAACACATAGAAACAACACACCCTGGCTCAACATAACAGAGTCCCAGAGCCAGGGCGTGACAGTACCCCCCCCCCAAAGGCGCGGACTGCGACCGCGCCAAACATAAACCGAACAGGGGAGGGCCGGGTGGGCATTCCTCCTCGGAGGCGGTTCCGGCTCCGGGCTTGACCCCCACCCTCCAACAAACCCCCCAAAGCGCCCCTGGTCCGGTCTGGCCCTGCTGGCCGGAGCTGGACTGAACACTGGTGGAGCGGATTGCTCTAGCTCCGGCGTGGAGCAGCTGACCGGTGCCGGACCAGGCACCGGTGGAACAGGCACGGGCTGTGCCGGACTGACGACGCGCACCACAGGCTTGGTGCGGGGAGCAGGGACGGGCCGGACCGGGCTGACGACGCGCACCATTGGCTTGGTGCGGGGAGCAGGGACGGGCCGAACCGGGCTGACGAAGCGCACCACTGGCTTGGTGCGGGGAGCAGGAACAGGCCGGAACCGGGCTGACGAAGCGCACCACTGGCTTGGTGCGGGGAGCAGGAACAGGCCGGACCGGGCTGACGACGCGCACCACAGTCTTGGTGCGGGGAGCAGGGACGGGCCGAACCGGGCTGACGAAGCGCACCACTGGCTTGGTGCGGAGAGCAGGAACAGGCCGGACCGGGCTGACGACGCGCACCACAGGCTTGGTGCGAGGGGCAGGAACATGCCGGACCGGGCTGGCGACGCGCACCACAGTCTCGGTGCGAGGGACAGGAACAAGCCGGACCGTACTGGGGACACACACCACTGGCCCTACGCGGGGATCAGGAACGGACCGGACTGGCAACACACCCCAGTACCTCTCGCCGTGCCTCTACATTCTCCTTCCCCCTGGTGACCAGTGACTCCCGTAACCTGGCGGCCTCCTTTGCCAACCCGCTGAACCACTCTATCCCGGCCTCCTGCTGCCCCGTCGTCCACGGCGTGAGCCCCCCCCCTAAAAATGTTCTGGCCGTCTCTCCTCCCCGTGGGCCAGGCCTCCATGGCTCTCGCCAGACTTTCGCTCCTCTGCTCCCAAGTCCATCCTCTCTCCTCCTCCCGCAGCTTGACCCAGTCGAGGTTGATGTCCTTTAGAGCCCTCTCTGGCGTTGGCTCCTGGACACGCTGCTTGGTCCAGTTATGGTGGGATCTTCTGTCAGTATCGTCGGAGGAAGTGGACCAATGCGCAGCGTGATAAGTGAACATACTTTATTTTTGAATGATCACACGAAACAAAACAACAAACGATACGAAACGTGAAGTCCTTGGTTACAATACAAACCATACGGAACAAGATCCCACAACACACTGTGGAAAACAGGCTGCCTAAGTATGGTCCCAATCAGAGACAACAAGCAACAGCTGATACACGTTGCCTCTGATTGAGAACCACACCGGCCAACATAGAAACAAATGAACTAGAATATAACCCTAGCACACAAAACACATAGAAACAACACACCCTGGCTCAACATAACAGAGTCCCAGAGCCAGGGCGTGACACTGGGTATGTCCGTTCTGTAGGTTCTATTTCTATGGTACTCACACACTCTCATCTCTATCTCTCTCTCTCTCCCTACTCAGGTTCCAGAACCTTCTTTGGTCGCGGAAAGGCTTTGTGGAGAGCATGAAGGCCTATGGCTCCAGCTACATCTACATGCCAGCCTTCTCCATGAAGCCGGGCACCGACCCCTCCCTGCGGGCATACTACGCCCTGGCCGACACCTCGTCCAACCTCACTATGCTGTTTGCGAACCCCGAGTTTCTCAGGACCGTGGGCAAGTTCTGGAAGGGTCGCGGAGTGCACGCCAAGCGCCTGTCCACAGGCCTCTTCCTGGTCAGCCTGGCACTGGGGCTGTGTGAGGAGGTGACGGCCTACGGCTTCTGGCCGTTCAGCGTGGGGCTCGACGAGCAGCCCGTCAGCCACCACTACTACGATAACGTGCTGCCGTTCAGTGGGTTCCACGCCATGCCTGAGGAGTTTGTCCAGCTCTGGCAGCTGCACAAGAGCGGCACACTGCGTTTGAGGGTGGGACACTGCCCCCCTCGGGAAGTGGGCATATAAGACTCAAAGGACCAAGGGCCCCTTCCCTAAGCAACCCCCACCCTCACCTAATAAACCTTCCCCTACCTCCGCTTACAACCCTCCAGCCCCCGGCGATCGTCTATGGCAAACCATCCGCAAACCCACCACCTCTTTTTTATCCATTAGCATGAGAATGTAACCCATGGTTACCCACCCAGCCCAGGAAGCCCCCACACACCCCCATCCTCTCTCTCTCTCCTGTCCTTCATCCACTCTCACTATGTGTGTGTGTGTGTGTGTGTGTGTGTGTGTGTGTGTGTGTGTGTGTGTGTGTGTGTGTGTGTGTGTGTGTGTGTGTGTGTGTGTGTGTGTGTGTGTGTGTGTGTGTGTGTGTGTGTGTGCGCGCGTGTGCGTGTGCGCGTGTGCGTGCATGCAGAGAGGGGGTCTGCTAACTGTCTCAGCTGGGGCTGGAGGATTCTTTGTGTGATGACTACTCAATGTGACATAGGGAGCAGCTGGGCCCAATGCCCACTGACTCTTTGTTAAACAGAGACAGAAGGAACAGTCCTAACCTAGAGGTTTTCATAGAAGTCTTAAGAGAACAGACTGAAAGACTTGAAACACGGAAACAGAAAGGAAAGGAGGAACCAAGGTGTCCTGGTACTAGGCTTGTATGAGAGAGGACTAAAAGGGAGAATTAAAGATGTCTTGGTACCTTGCTCGTTCGAAGGAGTTTGTTGTTTTTTGTCTTGAACAAAAACCCTTGATGGACATCTTAAGCAACCAATCAGGGTTGAGGTTCAAAGTATGATCCAATAGAAAAGGAGAGTGAAGCACTATATCGAGCTCCTAGAATGTTCCATTTTACAGCCAAGCTGAAATAGAGCCCTGTTCACTAAAAGGGAGGCCAAGAACATTGCAGTGCTAGATATATCCGTAAGTTATTTTATATTTGTTAATCATGACTTTAATGATATATGTTTTTCATTTTATATAGGTTGATGTTCTACGTTGATTTGGTTATGTTAAGATTGAGAGCTAATTATGTATTCAAATGTTTTCACAAAAATCCACTGCAGAAGAAAAGATGAGAGCCAATGTATGGATGCTTCACAAATCATGACCTCATCTGTGTGTGTTTATCGAGATGTTGTGTCCTTGAAGGCTCACCCCCGTTCACGCTATGAGCCCTTATTGGTATGATCCACTTACAAATGCACTCCATTGACAAGAGACTGGGAGCTACCATATCTTGCCTTCTGCAGGGGCTGTTAAAACTTGTCCTCGCTGCATTTAGAAGGAATTGAACTGTGACATATTTGTGTATTGCACTCATGCTGTCAAGTGACTGAAGACACACAAACAGGCTTTGCAGGCTTTTGGAAAGTGGCATCTTGACTGAGTGATGACAACACTGCTTGTTTCTGTTCAGGTGCAGGACACCTGCTCACATTGAACTTGAACTTTCATACTCTTCTTCTTGATCACCATCATCATTGTCATCATCAGTGTGCGTCTGAATGTCAGGGTAGTGACTTGAACTTTGCTGTCCTGCATTTGTTTCGAGATGTTTTTTCACTATCATTCATATCAGGGTTGGGGTTGGGGTCAATTCCATTTCAACTAGTAAACTGATATTCCAATTGAAATGGAACTGACTCCAACCCTGATCCGTATACATTTACATTTACATTTTAGTCATTTAGCAGATGCTCTTATCCAGAGCGACTTACAGTTAGTGAGTGCATACATGTTTTATTTTTTTTGTATACACATACAAGGGAATTAACAAATGATGTGTAGTTGGTGCTAGTTCTTCTGTCATCATCACCATACAGTTGAGACAGTGTAAGAGCCAGCCCTTTTGGTTGTATGTGAACTCCTGTCTTGAATTTTGGGATGATACGTTTAATTGTTGTTACTGTCATGGATATTTTGGTTGGTCAAATGTGACCAGTGCCATATCATGTCATGGGCCAATCTAGGTCTGCATGGATCATGCATGAAGTCTAGCACCAACACTGAAACAACATTTTAACAACTTTTGGACTAACCTACAGGTACAGAACAGATCGTGTGAATTATGAGGTTTCTTCAAACCCATGACCTATTCCTCATATCTACTGTATAATGAAAGGTTTTAGTGCCTTCAGAATTCACCAAGGCAAAGGGAAACGTTAGATATTACTGTATGGTATCTTTAAAATGACATTTTCCCTTGTCCCCCTTTTGAAACTATGATTTCCACAATCACAATGTGACACTGCTATATCATAGAAGAATATGGTTCAAGTATGAATTATTTTAGCCGTTTGAAGTATTTCAAGGGTGCATCTGAAATGGCACCCTATTCCCTATGTAGTGTACTACTTATGGCCAGCACCAATAGGGTGCACTACATCGGGAATAGGGTGCCATTTCTGACGGTACCAAGTGAAAATGACCCCCTTGACCTCTATATGAAAACCATGTGACTATGGAAACAAGTCCAAAGTCTTAGATTGAGCTGGTTGTCATTGGACCAAGTCAATTAATGATCAACCTGTTTAAAGTCTCTTCATTGCCAGTCTTGAAGCAAACATATGCTCACTTCCAACCGGGAATTGAACTGATGATAATTTTAAAAAACGAATGCGATTGAATTGATGACACGTATTTGCACCTTCGGCCCCACTTTATTTGGATAGTCTGGATAGTCCATCTGTAGATGGTCATACTATCAACACACTATCTGTTGATAAACAACTGATTGCTAAGGTTAGGGTTAGGGTAAAGGTTAGGGCTAGGGTAAGGCTTAGTAGATAGTTGACATGTTACTGATAGTGTGTAGATAATCTGTAGAGCAGGGTTCTTCAATTCCGGTCCTGGAGGGCCGAAACACTTCAGTTTTTTATTTCTACCTGGTAGTTAATTGCACTCACCTGGTGTCCCAGGTCTGAATTAGCCCCTGATTAGAAGGAGAGGATAAAAAACTGAGGTGTTTCGGCCCTCCAGGACCGGAATTGAAGAACCCTGCTGTAGAGCATCTACAGATGGGCTATCCAAATATAGTGTTATCTCACCGTCTGGTTCCTCTGCCCAGTATTGTGAATGAGTGATATTTTACTGTGTAATTTGCAGTAAGCATGACTGTGACTTTGTATGTGTTTTGGGGTTCTGAGTTTCAAACTCATTCTGACTTAGTATTTCTATGTCCATTATTTTGTGAAGCGCCATATTGGGTTGATTATGCCCAAAAAGAAACGGCGCAAATTGCACCTCAATATCGGTTTTGCTGGCAATCCCTTTTAACCTTAGTCTGGGTACCAGTCATTTGCCAAATGACAGGAGTGGCAAGGAGTGGAATGTTAGCTAAAAATACTGGTACCCAGGCTATATTAGCCTACACTGGGGTTGAAATGTGACATAATGCAAACACAATGTGACGTTCTCAGCTACACAGTGTGTAAGCCAATCCTACTTACTGTGTCATCAATAAGATGACATCTAGTTAACGAGGGCTTCTGCATAGTGGTACTTCTGAATCTTTCCTACGTATATTTAGATGTGTTTATAGTGTATGCCATTGCCTGGTTCATTTGGACAATAGATATAAATGTGTTTTCTTTGCCTTGAATTTGTTTCTGAAAAATACTTTGGAAAGAAAAAAAGCTGTGAGGTCTTTACATTATTAAGCTGTTAATGTGTATTCAACCCTTGTGTCAATCACCTTACGTCAGCTCAATGCTGTTTTTGGCGAGAGTACCCTGCCTGAGCATGTTCGAATACAGTATGTGATGAAGGACTGAAATGTGTTTTATGTGCCACGCACCCCCCCCCCCCCCAATCAAGAAAAACATTGCATCCAAATAAGAGGTAAACACTAGTATCCAATAAAGAAGGTAACAATATCGAATCACTACCACTCTTGTGTTTTGTTTTCAATCATCTTTGTTCTCAAATGATTCCATTGCTTTGTAGTTCAATGGGGCTATGGTCCCCTTCACTTACAGATGGGCAACAGCTGTTATTGTAGCTAATGGTCATTAGTTAACCAGCACACCTTTAATTGATTGATCTACAGCAGGTGGGTCTCGTTAACCCATTGTGCCTCAGGAAGCCTATTGTAGTATAGCCTCGTACAAACCATCCTGATCTTGCGAGCTACACGGATAGCGAAACAGAATGTAAACTTGCGAGATCAGGGTGGTTCGTACGAGGATAGTTGTAGTAGGGCCTGCTGTTCAACTCAAGGCAAGCCTAAGGGAGAAGGGCTTGTACAACTACTAACCTATTTTAATTTGCCTTGTCATTACGGGATATGGGTAATTCCATGTAACTGAATTGCGCTGAGATGACGATTTTTCACTTTAGAATGTAGTATGCCAAACAAAAAACGTTTATTTCAAAGTTTAACAAAAGACATACAACTCTATGCACAATGACTACTTAACAATTTACACAGTACATAAAAATAAATATATCATTTACTGGAAAAACTGTGCAGATGCAAAGTCTACCTCAGTTTTATTCTGTTACCAAACATTTCTTCCAGCAAATGTGTTTTGTCAAATTCTCAGTGGAAATTGTTAAAAGTAGACCTTGTACATAGAGTTGTATGGTTTGTTAAACTTTGAAATCAAATTTTTTTGTTTGGTATACATTTTAAAGTGAAAAATCTGAGTCTCAGCGTAATTCTGTTACCATGGAATTATTGCCCATATGTAATCTTGTCCACCAGCTGGCTTTCTCTCTGTCTAACCTATGCAGTAGCAATTGAAGGCATGCGGTACACCGGAAGCATAGAAATGGTGCACATAGACCACTTATTAGACTTGCTTTCTATGAGAATGACAGATCTACAACTCACATTTCTATGTGAATTTGGTCAGGTCACCCAAAAAGTGACATACTGCAGTTTTAATGTTCCAACAGTCGCCTGATACAATTTGCTAAGATGGCTAAGAAGCCAAACGGCTCAGAGGTAAGTTGTTCTTCTGAGTCTCAACATTATATAGTCATTCTAATAGTCATGCATCATTACAGACGTTGGGTAATAT